ACACACATGTAACTATCATATCACGATACACTGACCTTACACACATGTAACTATCATATACAAACACACTAACCTTACACACATGTAGCTATCATGTCACGATACACGGACCTTACACACATGTAACTATCATATCACGATACACTAACCTTACACACATGTAACTATCATATCACGATACACTGACCCTACACACATGTAACTATCATATCACGATACAGTGACCTTACACACATGTAGCTATCATATAACGATACACGGACCTTACACACATGTAACTATCATATCACGATACACGGACCTTACACACATGTAACTATCATATCACGATACACGGACCTTACACACATATAACTATCATATCACGATACAGTGACCTTACACACATGTAACTATCATATCACGATACACTGACCTTACACACTGTAACTATCATATCACGATACACTGACCTTACACACATGTAACTATCATATCACGATACACTGACATTACAGATGTAACTATCATATCACGATACACTGACATTACACACATGTATATATTATATCACGATACACTGACATTACACACATGTAACTATCATATCACGATACACTAACCTTACACATATGTAACTATCATATCACGATACACTGACCTTACACACATGTAACTATCATAGCACGATACACTGACCTTACACACATGTAACTATCATATCACGATACACTGACCTTACACACATGTAACTATCATATCACGATACACTGACCTTACACACATGTAACTATCATATCACGATACACTGACCTTGCACACTGTGATGTTGGTGTTTAGATATTTGTCACTGTGAAGTTGGTGTTTAGATATTTGTCATTGTGATGTTGGTGTTTAGATATTTGTCACTGTGATGTTGGTGTTTAGATACTTGTCTCTGTGATGTTGGTGTTTAGATACTTGTCACTGTGATGTTGGTGTTTAGATACTTGTCACTGTGATGTTGGTGTTTAGATACTTGTCTCTGTGATGTTGGTGTTGAGATACTTGTCACTGTGATGTTGGTGTTTAGATACTTGTCACTGTGATGTTGGTGTTTAAATACTTGTCACTGTGATGTTGGTGTTTAGATACTTGTCACTGTGATGTTGGTGTTTAGATACTTGTCTCTGTGATGTTGGTGTTTAGATACTTGTCACTGTGATGTTGGTGTTTAGATACTTGTCACTGTGATGTTGGTGTTTAGATACTTGTCACTGTGATGTTGGTGTTGAGATACTTGTCACTGTGATGTTGGTGTTTAGATACTTGTCACTGTGATGTTGGTGTTGAGATACTTGTCACTGTGATGTTGGTGTTTAGATATTTGTCACTGTGATGTTGGTGTTGAGATACTTGTCACTGTGATGTTGGTGTTTAGATACTTGTCACTGTGATGTTGGTGTTTAGATACTTGTCTCTGTGATGTTGGTGTTTAGATACTTGTCACTGTGATGTTGGTGTTTAGATATTTGTCACTGTGATGTTGGTGTTGAGATACTTGTCACTGTGATGTTGGTGTTTAGATACTTGTCACTGTGATGTTGGTGTTTAGATACTTGTCTCTGTGATGTTGGTGTTTAGATACTTGTCACTGTGATGTTGGTGTTTAGATACTTGTCACTGTGATGTTGGTGTTGAGATACTTGTCACTGTGATGTTGGTGTTTAGATACTTGTCACTGTGATGTTGGTGTTGAGATACTTGTCACTGTGATGTTGGTGTATTTACTAATTCTAGTACAGAAAATAAGTCTATCAGAACGAGACACAACACCATAACAACTCTGGTGTTTATTGTTGTAACACATAAATATAAACATCTCTACAATCCTAAAATCTAGGAGTATTTAAAGAATAATCTGTTACCAAGGCGCCATTAATATTCACCTTCCACCTGGGTTAGCTTCATATCAACTCTATACCTCACCTGATAACAAGTTATTGTTTATAATTCCATTCTCAAGTTATCTATTAACAAAATTCAAAACAAAACTAAAACCAGGGCATTTAAAATACCCGCTAAACCAAATACTGACGTCAGCAATAACACAGTTCCTAGTGCCATTGTGTATGGCAAGTGTATAAAATAGTACAGTCACAAATTTAACTTGGTTACTGAAATGAAAATGTAAATTCTCGCATTCTATTGTTTTTTCGTTCGGTTAAAAATAGAAGCTTACTGCCAATTGATAAGTGATACGGCTCTGGTCAGACTCCACCAAACTATGTATCTATCGGAAATTATTTGCGTTTTCGTGTCGTGGAGTGGATTGGTGAGATTTTCAGAATTTATATAGAGAAATACCCGGAAATTATAAACAGAAGTCGATTATGTCAGTAAGTAATGATATTTTGTTTGAACCGGATTCTACCTTTGGACTGTCAGATCGTAACGAGGATACATCCTTACCAGCATTTGTAGAGTCATATCAAATCTCTTCTTAATCAAGGCTCCCAATGTACACCCCTTAGACTTATGGTATACCCCATTCAAAGTTATATATACTCAATGTACACCCCTTCTGATATAGACTTGTGGTATACCCCATCCTAAATTATCTATACTCAATGTACACCCCTTCTGATATAGACTTATGGTATACCCCATCCCTTAATTATTTATACTCAATGTACATACCTTCTGATATAGACTTATGGTGACTTATATAAGTCACATCCTGAATTATATATACTCAATGTACACCTCTTCTGATATAGACATATGGTGACTTATATAAGTTACATCCTAAATTATATATACTCGATGTACACCTCTTCTGACATAGACTTATGGTGACTTATATAAGTCACATCCTGAATTATATATACTCAATGTACACCCCTTCTGATATAGACTTATGGTGACTTATATAAGTCACATCCTGAATTATATATACTCGATGTACACCTCTTCTGATATAGACATATGGTGACTTATATAAGTCACATCCTGAATTATATATACTCAATGTACACCCCTTCTGATATAGACTTATGGTGACTTATACAAGTTACATCCTAAATTATATATACTCGATGTACACCTCTTCTGACATAGACTTATGGTGACTTATATAAGTCACATCCTAAATTATATATACTCGATGTACACCTCTTCTGATATAGACATATGGTGACTTATATAAGTCACATCCTGAATTATATATACTCAATGTACACCCCTTCTGATATAGACTTATGGTGACTTATATAAGTCACATCCTGAATTATATATACTCGATGTACACCTCTTCTGATATAGACATATGGTGACTTATATAAGTCACATCCTGAATTATATATACTCAATGTACACCCCTTCTGATATAGACTTATGGTGACTTATATAAGTTACATCCTAAATTATATATACTCGATGTACACCTCTTCTGACATAGACTTATGGTGACTTATATAAGTCACATCCTAAATTATATATACTCGATGTACACCTCTTCTGATATAGACATATGGTATACCCCATCCTAAATTATATATACTCAATGTGCACCACTTCTGACATAGACATATGGTATACCCTATCCAAAGTTATATATACTCAATGTACACCTCTTCTGATATAGACATATGGTGACTTATATAAGTCACATCCTAAATTATATATACTCAATGTTAACATCTTCTGATATAGACATATGGTATACCCCATCCTAAATTATATATACTCAATGTACACCCCTTCTTATATAGACATATGGTATACCCCATCCTAAATTATATATACTCAATGTACACCCCTTCTTATATAGACATATGGTATACCCCATCCTAAATTATATATACTCGATGTTAACCCCTTCTGATATAGATATATGGTATACCCCATCCTAAATTATATATACTCAATGTTAACATCTGATATAGACATATGGTATACCCCATCCCTTAATTATATATACTCAATGTACACCCCTTCTGATATAGACTTATGGTGACTTATATAAGTCACATCCTGAATTATATATACTCAATGTACCCTAAATTATATATACTCAATGTACACCCCTTCTTATATAGACTTACGGTATACCCCATCCTAAATTATATGATGTCTCTCTTGGGGAAGTATGTGACATCACTCAGTGTCTGATGTCAGTCTATTTGTCCCTTGTGTATAATATATTGGACATCACTCAGTATCTGATGTCAGTCTATTTGTCCCTTGTATATGAGATATTGGACATCACTCAGTGTCTGATGTCAGTCTAATTGTCCCTTGTGTATAAGATATTGGACATCACTCAGTATCTGATGTCAGTCTATTTGTCCCTTGTATATGAGATATAGGACATTACTCAGTGTCTGATGTCAGTCTTTTTTTTAAATTGATCCCTTGAGTAGGGGATGTCTTATTTTTGACATGAATAGACGTCAAACTAAATCCTGAATTTGCCATAAAATCGTAGTTGTAAATATCCTTAGTATGAAAGTTTTTTTTAATTGAAGTATTTTACCCATATGATATGTCAGCTAAATGCAATTTGTAACAGTCGTAGGCATATCGATAATGACCAATACTTTTGTGCGAAGCATATCACAAAACCTATCAACATGAACTTCGTAGAAGCACAGCGTACTAGAACCATAACTCTCTTTTGTGTAATTTAGGAGTTATTGAAACTTGGTGTATACATTAGTCATACTAAGAGAATGTGCAGTATACTATGTTCAGGGCCTGCAACTTCTTAATTACAGAATTATTGCCCTTTGACTATTTTTTTGTTTCCAATGAAGTCGTTTTCGGTGAGCATTCATCCGTTTCACCGATACTCTTAATTTTCTAGGATAACACAAGAAAATGTTTTTTTTTTTTCTTTATTTATTTTTTGTCAAGACATTACAAAATTATATTGAGTAATAAGATTATCAGTCTTTATAACATAGAATTTCTTTATAAGAAGGCAAAGTCATACAGTACTTGATTTTCTGTGTTGTAGGAGGCGACAGTAAGCGTTTGCCATGTTAAGGGTGTACACGCCCGCGTCCTCGCAACCAACGACAACCGGAAGGAGCCCTCTCACGCGTCAATCCCACGCTGACGGCCTCAGACGGCAGATCGTAGATATGGTGCAACAGCAAGGTCTCACCACATCTATACCAGATACAATCGGACAGAATTCCGGACAGACAACAGAGGATCCGGTTGACCAACCAACAGAGCGTTTGACGACACCGGAACCAACAACGGTCATATATCAAATCAGGAAAAAAGGAGGAATCGCAAGTACCAAACAAATAGACGATAAGACTGACAAGAAAAACGATAACTTAAAAAAAATCCACTTAAAGATCTTACGTGAAACTAGAGGTCGAGGGTCGCGCTCGTTCCCTGTTATTGAGGGTCAGCTTCGTGACAGTTCGGCAAATGACGACGGCAGAAAAGATCCGTTCAAGCGGCCTAAGGCCATTGCAGCAGGAGACACAAAACCAAGCGCTGTTCCTAAAGTGTCGTTCAGGATAAATGATACTAAGAACACGCCTGTTTCGGAGTCTCCTGCACCCGGAATGCAATCGAATGTCAATAGTTCTGTGGATTCTAAGTATGAAATCCGTGGCAGCGCGATCCGGTCCAACAGGAACAACAAATCAGCTCCTGCTTACCGCTCGTCGGAAGCATCCAAACGTCACATGACGATTCATACATCGTTACAGTTATTTAAACGTAAGTTAAAGGTGAACCATCCTGACAACTATGTACAGCCGAATATGAACACAAATGATTCTGATTACGTCATACGAAGAGTACCTCTCAAGTATGACAGATCGTCAGGTGGCCGGACAATGATGTCACCCTCCCCTTTGGAGCCTAGACTACAAGTGATGTCCTCCGTTCCACGCCGTTCAAAGACACAAGCCATGACTACCAATTTCACACGACCTACAAGCGGTACAGAGGCTAGTCAGAATGATGAAGAGAAGAAAATCCGTTGTTCGTATCGCCTTCCAGATAACTTTAACTGGACCAAGGAAGTGTCTTTCCGCGACGATACTGAAATGATTCCTAACGTGAATACGTATGTGGTGGAACAAGGTCTCAAGAAGGCCACCCGAAAGTATGATGGTCACGCCACACTTAGTGCGCACAACCTGGACGTACATAATGCTTTAACTGCAAATCGCAAAGTGAAACTTGGCGAGAGTGAGGAGGAGTTTGACTCTCGATTCGCCCGGTGGCTCGAGGAATCCAACCTGACATACAAACATAATGCGCGCGCGCACTCCTCGCCAGGTGTCCGTTCACGTCCGTCAGAGATAGATGGACACCAAATGGACATCATCCACGTGCCACATGAGGAGATTAGGTGTAAAACTCCATTTCCTGATACAGATCAACCTTCCTCTAACTGATGATAATTTCAATCACGCCTGATTTTTTTCGGCAGGGATATATGTACAGTGCCAGGTATTATGACACTCCTGAAAAGGAATTTTTCGGAAAACACTGTGTCTGTTTAATTCCTGCTGGACGTACTAATTTGGGAAGCAAACTTAACATTGTGTAATAACCAGAGCTATTCCTATGATCAGGGAAATCATAACAATTTTTTGTTCACTGTTTAGTTAACATCAATATATATCCATTTTATAAGCATCATATTTTGTTGTGTTGCAGAAGACATTGTCACCTGTTGATAATCTTATTTTTCCTTGCCCCCGGATCGAAAGATCGGCGGCATGTTGTTTTTGTGCTGTCTGTCTGTTTGTCTGTTGTCAACTTTAACCTTGCCCATAACTATTACACCGGAAGAGGTAGGGTTTCATATTTGGCATGTTATTTCCTTGTGACATTACCATTCCGGTGATACCTAAACTTTTGACCGTTTGACCTTGACGCTGGCCTTTGACCTACATTTGAAAGTTAAAAAACAAATCTACAATGAATGCATGACATTAGCACATGCCTTACACAGTAAAATTTTAATCCACTCCAGGGGTTCGAGGGGTGCAGCGTCCGAAAGTGATCGTAACCCCTAGAGTATCGAGGATGCACTTTACGCTGCTACGATGTTTTACTTTGAACAGCGCAGGTGAAACATACAGATCAGGATTTAGATTATTTTTTAAACAAATATCTCGAGGTTACCTCCCTTGTCATTGATACATTAACATTACATGTGATAAATGCTTATCTACGCAATTTCGTTTAAGTAAATGTTATATTACAGTTAAATTACAAACAATTTAAAAACAAAACAGATATATTTTTTATGAATTACAAACTCTACTAATGATTTGAAATTGAATGAAATGTTCGTAAACAACTCGCTGTTGTTATCACAGACGTGAAAACAAACGGTCGGGGTCCGGTTGTGTTTCGGGGGTCGGGAAGGAGTGACAACAAAGGGTCTGGTTTCGGTTGTGTTTCAGGAAGGAGTGACAACAAAGGGTCGGGGTCCAGTTGTTTTTTGGATACGGGGAAGGAGTGACAACAAAGGGTCGGGGTCCGGTTGTTTTTTGGAGACGGGGAAGGAGTGACAACAAAGGGTCGGGGTCCAGTTGTTTTTTGGAGACGGGGAAGGAGTGACAACAAAGGGTCGGGATCCGGTTGTGTTTCGGGGGTCGGGAAGGAGAGACAACAAAGGGTCGGGGTCCGGTTGTTTTTTGGAGACGGGGAAGGAGTGACAACAAAGGGTCGGGGTCCAGTTGTTTTTTTGGAGACGGGGAAGGACTGACAACAAAGTGTCGGGATCCGGTTGTGTTTCGGGGGTTGGGAAGGAGTGACAACAAAGGGTCGGGGTCCGGTTGTGTTTCGGGAAGGAGTAACAAGGGTCGGGGTCCGGTTGTGTTTCGGGGGTCGGGGAAGGGTTGACAACAAAGGGTCCGGGTCCGGTTGTGTTTTGGAGACGGGAAATGAGTGACAACAAAGGATCGGGGTCCGAATGTGTTTCGGAGGTCGGGTAGGGGTGACAACAAAGGGTCGGGGTCCGGTTGTTTTTTTGGAGACGGGAAATAAGTAACAACAAAAGATCGGGCTCCGGTTGTGTTTCGAGAGTCGGGGAAAGGGTTACAACATAGGGTCCCGTTGTGATTCGAATTTGGTAGTCGGGGTGTAGGGGTGCTGGGGAGGACAACAAAGGGTATTGCCCTCATTGTCCTGTGTCGTAAGGGATTCATACTGTTATTGAGTTTCTTGATCGTTTGCCATGACAAAACATGCCCCAAAATATATGAATTCAACATGTAAAGAATAACATTGGTGATACATTGTGATATTTTGAGTTTGTAAATCTCTTATTAAAATATTCCATCGTGAGTGGCGGCTTGTTATGTTCTGCGTTCCTCATTAAGGAGGATGGTTCTTGTTAGTTATTTGTAAATGATAAACTTCAAAGCTCTAAAATACATTAACACTTAAAAAATATTAGTCCTATTTCATATCTACAACCAAAACACTACTTTTATCATCTACTTTCTAGATTTCTTAATTGATTACAACTGAGAGTTTCAGTTTTGCCGCCAATCAGTATCACAACTTCGCGATGCCGTAACGTTGTGGACGCTATTGATCAAATCACGTCGGCAACTACGCCGTCAAAAAATGAAATCCAGACGCGAAATTTCTTCAAAACGTATCATATAAATCGTCCTCTTCAGCTTGTAAGTACAACTATAGAAAGAGTTATAAAAACATTCCATACCTCTGGAAGATCTTAAATTAAGCATGAGCCCCATTATACAACATTTTGGAATTGAGTGCAAATTTCTCATCTCAATTAAATTCGAAATTAAAAGTCTCACACAAAACTCACTGATGGAAGAGTTGTGCTACGTCATCACATTTTTGTAAGAAATTCAACTACGTACACACAGTAATATGACTCAAGATTGTTTTCATTTTCTGAAAACAAATCAAAGTACTGAATATCCTCAAATGCGCAGAACTTGCTGAGCAAAAACTGATGGCAAAAGTGAAATTCTCCCTGTCTATTTATCATGTTACTGTTTTACAAGTGATGTTTACAGATCTACTTTTACTGTGGCAACTGTTTTACACCAAGAAGCAACTCTCCACCAAAGTACTGAAATAAAAAGAAAGAATAAAGTTCAAGGTCATTTATTTAAGCAATCTCTGTTCGGCTTCATCCTAAGTACTGTATGGTACTACCTAGAACTTAAGTCAACTACCGTCTTGAATGACTTCGATAAAATTCCCATCAAGATATATTGAAATATTTACTGAAATCAAGAAGGGTGTCTTTGGAGCCAAAGCTGTCATACGTGTTTCTAAGTCCTCTCCTCTGGATATTCAAAGATATGCAGGGTGATTGACACGAAAATTGCACGAGTTAACAGGCATTAGATAACAGGGACCAATAACAGTCCATGTGACATGTTACAAATCTATTTGACCAGTTTTTATGTCTTCTGGGCTTCTTCGGGTCACATTGTACAACAATTCTGAGTAGAAACTGTGATGAAATATATGTCCAAGAGAAGCCCAATAAGACAGTGATACAGCTAAATGATGCAGTTGAATTCATAATATGGCTTTACTGTATCTATTTCTAAATTTGTATCAAAACGTGCATGGACCTGAGGAAGTTTCATAAGAGTAGGATATACACATCAGAACACACAGTTATCAGACCCATTGTATGATAGACACAATCTATTGATAACTCTGTTTCCTCAATAAGATGTACGTGGTTTGTCCGGTAATCATACACCGAATTGTAACATGTGAAAGACACAAATAAAACAAATATTTTAGTATCATAAGGCGCCATGAAGAAATGATAAAATACAATGTAGAAAGCTTAATATTTTTCTGTACTGATCTTTCACAGATCAAATACAACCCTGTCATTACATAAGGTTTTCATGAAAAAAATATATATAACAGATTTTTTATGTTTTTCATGTGATTTGATAATGAAAACCTAAGAGTGAAGATTGCAGATCAAGCTTGAAAAAGTTAACATCACTGATCAGCACATGTTTATCTTCAGTGTTGTGTCTTGTCAATTCAACGGTCTAAAGAACACCAATGATTCAATGTTGCTGGTTTTTTAATCCAAAATAAAACTTTCTTTCTTGTTTCCCCTTGAAGATTCTTGTGATGTTTTGAGATACCTAGAATAACACGATCACAAATGTTTGCCAAAATCCAACGTTATCAATTATGGAGAATTTCAGAGTATAACTGGATGTACACTATACGACTGAACTACCTGTTATACGTTTGAGTACAAAGCTGCAGTGACATCTCAATCACATTATTCCTACACATAAATGGTACGTCCATCGTTCCAAAAAACTGCTCTCTTCAACAACTCAGATCTATCTAGACAGCTTGGGCTGTACAGAATTCAAAATTTCAAACATTGTAGTTGCCATGTAGAGATGAAATATAGAATGAATTTGAAGAACTTGGCAAGATTATTCTACCTGTTTTTCTTGACAAGTAAAATTTCAGTCCCGTATGGAAATAAAAACAATTCCGCCATGAAACTTCTCTCGGCACGGGTTTGTTTTCCTATTTGTTATGTGACAAGGTGATAGTAAGTATATGTATGTACTTGTATATGAAAATAAATAAAATAAATGTTTGTAGGGATCATATGTAGTTGTATATGTGAAATACAATCCCACCTTAACACGTCAAAAATAATGATAAACAACAATACATTTCTTATTGTTATCAATTAATCTAATCATGTTTGATTGAAGATTAAATTGGCAGATACAGCTTCACCGTGTAGTCTTTCCCATCACTGTTGTGTGTTGTCAATTCATCTGTCTGAAAAATATAAAATATTCAAAAGGAAAATCCTACAAGCAGTAAGTTAATTTTGGATTGATATACAGAGTGTGTAAGTAACCGATGATTACTAGGCTTAATGAGCATAATCCACAGGAAAAATAATGTTATTCTTGTACCACAAGTAAATTTCAACAAACCTGTTTTATAACCTTTAATCAACTAACAAATATATACATGTCAGTGTAACCTAAACTCTATATTTGAAAAATATTTTTTCTATATTCGACAAATAAAAATCATTTTTCCCTATATTTGACATAAAGAAATAATTTTTTTCTATATTCGACATATAAAGATAATTTTTCCCTAGATTTGACATATAAAAATAACTTTTTTCTATATTCGAAATATAAAGATAACATCTATTTCTACATAGGATACACAAAAAATAAAAAATTTGTTCCATCTGCACTTATATATGTAGAGTGTAAAGTATCTTCCATCGGATAACTGACTTAAGTATGTTTCAACCACAGGATCAAATAGACATACATATACAGGTAGGACGGAGCAGTGACAAAATGTAAGTTGAAAGTCCTACAAAGGTTATGATATAATCTTTTTGCCATAATTTGAAGATGTCACAATAAGTTAAATAACACACTCATGCCAAATAAAAAAATCGGACGTGAATCTTTCATCTCGTATTACGATAGTGATATAAACCATATTTCTGCATTAAAATACACCAAACTAATCAGTTGTTCAACCAAACATGCGTCAGATATACAGGACTACACACGTGTTGTTGAATTATAATTGAAAATTGAAATTGCAAGCACGCGCTTGAGATCAATTTCACCCTCACAGGATTGTAGAATATTCAGTTATTATTTGTATAAATTTTAAAAACTTGTACACGAAAATAAACTAAAATTTTGTCCATTGCATTTATGTTACGGTTTCAATGGTAGCATTAAAACATGTCTTACAGTACAAAATTATATAGTTCACCAATAAGCACTTCTTTAGAGAGAAAAAATAACACAAATACACACATGACATCTAGTCTAGATAAACTGAATACCCAAAATAACACATCAGGTCGGCATTCAGGGATCATAGCTTTGAAGATCAGAAACACAGTAAAGAAAAGTATCAGGTTTTACCTTTTCAAAGTCATGCATTTGATATATCATATCCTGAGCAGGCAACCATAATAATCTGGTGTCTTCTTACTCAGCCAACATTTTGATTTTTGGGGTATACAGGGAAGGTATTTTGTTGGCCAGATGAAACTGGGTGTGAAAGGTAGAAAAATAGGAGATAATTACAGGTAAGGCTATAGACTGCTTCATAAAACTTCCTACTTTCAAGAGAAAAATAACTGGATATTTAAGAATTACATGTATTTTTATTTCACATTGAATGCATTTACAGTATTAACTTACTTATATACCCTCTATATAAGAAACATAGCTACTATTTTCCAATTATAGAATCATAGAAAAACATAGAAATATCAGAAAGTACACATATAGCTACTATTTTTCAACTATTTCAATTATTTATGTATATACACATATATAGACACATAAAGTAGCTTGATTTCAAACGTCCTTTTGAATAGGAGTATTATAATGTTCTGTGCATCCTCTATATCATGAATTAAAATCGCCTATTAGTAATTCAATGGTAAAAGCTTATAATTTGTATAATTGATACACTATATACGTGAAGGGAAAAGGTATTCCCATACAAAAGGAAATGAATTAATTCAATTCGGTACTAGAATGGTTTTTTCAGCAAAATCTTTTTGATGCAACACATGCAGTTTATTTCACTATTTTACTGTAAATGCAGTAGATGGGAAGCAGCATCAGCATAACCAAGCACATCAATTTGTTCATTTCTGTATTGGTCCTTTAGTTGACTAAGGCGAGAGTCTATGTGGCGGTATTTCCTCTTCTTTGGTCTTGGTTTACCTCCGGTCAAAAGTTTAATCATCTTTGCTTAATCGGTAGCCTTAATTTTCTTCAGAAGCTGAACAACCGCAAAGATGTTCGGGTGCGCATGCTGACAGAGCTTGTTAACCTTGCTGTGCCATCCCTCAATAAGATTTGTTGTCCGTGGGCCATCGTTGTCATAGTGATTCCACAAAACTACAATATGTCCCTCAACACACGTTTCTGTAAAATAGTCCTTAAATCGTGTAGTTTCAGGGCTAATATCCTCTTTGCTGTCTATGACAGAAAATCACACATCCTCTACTTGATCATTGGGCACTAACGGAAGCACAGCTCCGCGTCTCACTAGAGTTTTTAGTCCGTCATCCTGGCGATAGCGTCCAGCCAGTCCCACATCCTTGTACTTTCCTCTAGATACACTGTGTGTAATGAAAATGAAAAAAAAACACGCTTTCCACGGCGTTCCTTGCTGCTACCTCAGAGTCCAACATAACTGTCTCTGGAGCGGAAACAAAGTTCATCGGAGTCACAGAATCCCTGAGTAAAGTAAACAGTCTCCTGTATGTCTGTTCTGTCTTGTTTGGTAGAAGGGCAAATACCAAAGGAAGCACAGTCGAATCAACACAAAATTTTGGTAGTATCCACCCCTTCCACTTTCTTTGAAGTTGATGTTAACCTGTGCATTAGACATCATGGAATATGAATGATTTGAAAATATAAAAATTAGTGCAAGACCTTTGTACTTTGTTGTAGTTGCTATAGGTGTCTGGGCAGTACAGAAGGTGAAGATGACATACTGAGCAACAGACTTTCATTTCCTCCCCAATATTACTTATGAATACAACACGAGTTATCAGACTCGCTCGGTTTACGTATCATGGCATCACGGCTACATCCTGAAATCTATGGCAAATAACATCAGAAAGGACTCTCAAGGCTGGGAAAGGAAAAGGGGTGGTTTCCTTATTTGAATACAAACAAGTAAATTATACTTCTTTTAAAAAATTGTTTTTTTTTCAAGTTATTTTCCCTAATTGGAATAGATGAAGGTAAAAAGAGCAATTTTTTCATTAGAGTTTGTTCCAAGTATATTTCAGTCAGACTAAGTGTGGAGTGTCACTTTTGCCATGAAATGTTCCAGGAGTGCAGAGAGCGAAAGTGATTGTAACCCCCTGGAATATCGAGGATGGTTCCAGGGGTACAGAGAGCGAAAGTGATTGTAACCCCTGGAGTATCGATGGGGTGCAGAGAGCGAAAGTGATTGTAACCCCTGGAGGGGTGGTTCCAGGGGTGCAGAGAGCGAAAGTGATTGTAACCCCTGGAGTATCGAGGATGGTTCCAGGGGTGAAGAGCGAAAGTGATTGTAACCCCTGGAGTATCGAGGATGGTTCCAGGGGTACAGAGAGCGAAAGTGATTGTAACCCCTGGAGTATCAAGGATGGTTCCAGGGGTGCAGAGAGAGAAAGTGATTGTAACCCCTGGAGTATCAAGGATGGTTCCAGGGGTTCAGAGAGCGAAAGTGATTGTAACCCCTGGAGTATCGAGGATGGTTCCAGGGGTGCAGAGAGCGAAAGTGATTGTAACCCCTGGAGTATCGAGGATGGTTCCAGGGGTGCAGAGAGCGAAAGTGATTGTAACCCCTGGAGTATCGAGGATGGTTCCAGGGGTGCAGAGAGCGAAAGTGATTGTAACCCCTGGAGTATCGAGGATGGTTCCAGGGGTGCAGAGAGAGAAAGTGATTGTAACCCCTGGAGTATCGAGGATGTTAGCGAGGTAGAAAGTCACACTATACGCAATTAAAGTGAATAAGAAAATCACGTTAGTGACTTAAATTATCAATATTTCGTGTAAAAATGTATTTTAAGAAAGACGAGAGTAAAGGCTTGAAAATTAATAGATAACTGACCATAAACAAATTGAGCTGGGCACTCCTTCGTCCAGTGTCCCCATTTGGCATGTGTCTGTTCAGAGAGCTGACGGAGTGAGAGTGAGAGTTAAGGTCATAAGGGGTCAGTTTGGACAGATTTAGTGTAATTAGTTTAGATTTATCACTTCTGTGTGTTTGATAAAGTTTGTGAAAAGCCGTGTCTCGGGGAGTTTTAGTTTGGGTGTTTGAGGACACAGGCGTGTTTTATGGGAATTTCAGTTGTTAGTTGTTTTCTTACCAACCCAAAGGTGAAAAAGTATGGTATTTAGCTGACAGGTTCCTAGGATAAATCCCGCCAAATTTGTGAAAAAAATTATCTTTACCTTTATTCTAGGTCGCAGGGGTCGAATTTGTTAAAACCTTTGAACAACTTCTTCTGACAAACCGAAAGGCGCAGAAGCATCGTATTTTTCTGACAGGTTCCTAAGATGAAGCCCGACAATGTATACCAAAAACAGGACATTGACCCTTATTCTAGGTCACAGAGTGTCAGATTTGTTAGAACCTTGAAATAGCTTCTTCTGGCTAACCAAAATACGCAAAATCATGTTTTTTTGGCTAACAGGTTGCAATGATGACACCTTACAAGTTTTGCGAAAAAAGTTGCCCTGGGCCCATTTTGAAGGTCACATGGATCGAGCTTGCTGAAACCTGTAAAAAGACTTCTTCTTGTAAAGAAGAAAGTTCGAGAAGCAAGTGAATTCGGTGGAAACGTGTTTCCAAATTAAAGTCCGAAAAAAATTCGAGCAAAAAAAAGTACGCTCACTGACCTATACATTTGTAATCCAATTCACAACTGTCTCCGTTTAGAGTTGAATATGATAAGCTGTTTGTTGTAGAACTTGGTTAAAACTTTGCCCATTTCCAATGCTAGTGGTGCATATGTCAATATATTTGTGATACTAACACCGATTCTATTTTTGAAGGGCAATGAGTACCAAGTGAGCAGTGCAGGCCCATTGGACCTCTTGTTTTGAGTTAGTTTGGATTTGTGCGAGAATAACTGAAGATCATTGGTTACTGTTATATCTAAGACTTGCATTAAAGATTTTGAAAATTATTGTGATGTTGGTGACTCGCACCTTAATTTATGTGTACATGTATTTACTTTCTGTAAATGTTCTGTTAATGTTGAATTAATGTGCTAAAAATCAAAAATGAATATATGTACATGTGTGAATGCATTTATGTGGTGTAATGTGAAATAAGTTGCCAATGTATCCTCGCAGGTGTTAACTGTCACTCAAATGCAAGACGTTGCCACGAACTCCATCTATATCTACAAAATTTGTAAATCTGGGTGATGTGTGGTCCATACTACCCATTGTCGGCCCTCGTCGTCGATCAAGCTTATCCCAGTTGGTCAAAGGGAATTAACTCTAAGAGTACATTGACCAAATCAACATGGCTGCTCCTAGTAAGAACCTTGCAAAATTCAGAGATGTTGGCAAGAAGATCTTGGCGATTGGACGAAATTACAAGTATTTTCTTTATATCGATGTTAAATCTGTGATAAATCGTTAATTTTGATGTGCATTTTTCTGCATGGCACGCTCTGCTTTCATCACAAACATGGATGGGGCGTGACTGTTGGGGCGAGCCAGGATCCCAGGACGAAAGATTGCATGGGTTATTGTAACGTAAAAGACCATCTTTGTCTATCAGACCACTTCACCTTTGTCATTAGGCCTATGATATAATATGCCTTCGTATCATGATTTTTAACGGATATTTGATATTTATGTTTAGGAGGTAAACGCCTGAAAATTAAATATATTTAATTGTTGTGGTGAACTTTGATTTCAGTCGGAAACTAAGGCTGAATTCTGACACAATTCCACATACATACTTACAGAAATGATGTAGCGGTGTTTATGGCTTAATTTTTTATATTAACATCACACTATACATGTGCCTGAAGTTTGTTATCAGGGATAGTCCCAGCTTTTATGCTGACCTAGATAATTTTATCTTGCTTGCATGATCAGGTGACAGGTCTATGGGAACAAGATGGGTGTCCAGTTACTGGGGGCTATAGTCAGTTTATTTAGTGATCTGACGTTATAATTAGATATCACCTGTTTAAAGTTCTGAATATGTATACCTGTTACATTGTTCACGTAGGTCTCCAGATCTTACCATACAACTGACTCTGACATCTGATGATGGCGGGCTATTCAAATCGCCCAGCGCCGTCATCCATCATTGTGTCTTTAAACAATTTCACACTGTTATTTGTGCATGCCATGCATCATCATCATCATCATCATCACCATCATCATCATCATCATCATCATCATCATCAAAATAATATCAAAATGTGATTTAAATCCCTAACAAATTCAGCCCTTCAATACATCCCTTTCCATATTACACTGAGTAGATGAAGGAGTTGGACTTTTATCTGTTTTGGAGAGAAAAATGTATTATAACCAGAATTTAATGTATAATTCTTACTTGGAACCATTGTAGCTTTGACCTTTTTTATCGTGAAAGATAACCTTGATATATTTTTCCACTTTTATTCACCATTTTTATTCCGGAATGCACGAGCTATATATGTAAAATGTTCTGTACAGTTCTGCAGTGTTATGTTGTTGTGCTATCTCGTGTTTATCTAATGTCTATATAGGAATACTACCTAAACGTGTATTCAGGTTCAAGTTAGAAAGAGTTATGATTTTCCAAAGACCCCTCCCTCTTTTAAATTCATCCAGCTTTAAAGCTATAACTGTGTCTGAATGATCAGATCTATAAATGAGTTCACTGTTTGGTTTACTTATACCAGATAATAAACAATATGATGTGATAAAGAGGTCTAATGGGCCTGTCTTACAAGATTATTTCTTCCCTACATTCTTGCTATCAGGATGAAGTTGTCTATAAATGGCTATAATTTGAAAAATGTCATTAATTTCTTAAACTTCCCCTCCCCCCACCCTCCCAGCAGCAGCAATGTTTATTTTCTACTACATTGCAAAGTACATTGTCATGTGACTTCATACATTGTCAAATAAGAGGTTGACCTGATAACAAGTCAATGAGTGTTTAACCCATCTTGTGGCTGGCTGTTAGGGTGACAAGAACTGGCTATGAGGTTGACATGCGGTGGCTGGTATGATGACAAGGGGTGGCTGTGAGGTTGACAAGGGCTGGTTGGTATGTTGACAAGGGGTGGCTGTGAGGTTGACAAGGGCTGGTTGGTATGTTGACAAGGGGTGGTTGTGAGGTTGACAAGGGCTAGCTGTGAGGTTGACAAGGGCTGGTTGGTATGTTTACTAGGGGTGGCTGTGAGGTTGACTAGGGCTGGCTGTGAGGTTGATGTGGGGTGGCTGTGAAGTGGACAAGCACTGGCTGGTATGTTGACAAGGGCTGGCAGTGAGGTTGACAAGGGATAGCTGGTATGTTGACAAGGGCTGGCTGTGAGGTTGGCAAGGGCTGGCTGTGAGGTTGACCAGGGCTGGCTGTTAGGTTGACTAGGGCTGGCTGGTATGTTGACAATGGCTGGCTGTGAGGTTGACAAGGGCTAGCTGTTAGGTTGACTAGGGCTGGCTGGTATATTGACGAGGGCTGGCTGTGAGGTTGACAAGGGCTGGCTGTTAGGTTGACTAGGGCTGGCTGGTATGTTGACAAGGGCTGGCTGTGAGGTTGACAAGGGCTGGCTGTGAGGTTGACAAGGGCTGGCTGTGAGGTTCACAAGGGCTGGCTGTGAGGTTCACAAGGACTTGCTGTGAGATTTAAAAGGAAATTTCTCCACATTACTTTGGAACATTTGAACATTTTACAACAGAATGTCATAAATACAGTAGGGAATTCGGAATAAGGATTACCAAAAGTTTGGTCAGTGATGTCAAATTTGCAGAGATTCATCATAATTCTGTAATGAAATAAATGATGTCTTATTACATGGTACAGGCAAAACAATTGTTTTGACCCCTCAGTAACGAGGGGTAAATAACTTTCACTAGAGCATGGGAAAGCATGAAATACTTATACAATATAAGTGCCTGGTCATATTATGATATTCTTACATTCACTGTATTTTGATTTCTGAAAGAGACTTTTTAGTGACTGGGAGATTTAGAGGCAGTCAGTAGTTTTGAAATTACTTCTTACATTTTTCTTTGTAACAGATCTCATGCTGCAGAACTGAACAACCCCATCCCAAAGAGTCCTTTGGTATTTATCAAGCCAACAACTTCTTATATCACCGAAGGCCAGCGAATTAAGGTGAGTCTGGGGGATACTCCAAGGATCACAGAGGTCAAACTGACCTCCACATCGACTGAAACTATAGATATAATGTTATTATACGGTATAGGGCCACAGCAAATGGCAAGTTTTGTGCTTGTAATTATACAAAAGAAAAGTTGTAGCAGAGAAAAAATCTATGGGGAGAAAAGTCTCCAAGAACTGATATCTCAGTGTACTGATATCTCTGTGTATTGATATCTGTGTACTGATATCTGTGTACTGATATCTCTGTGTACTGATATCTCTGTGTGATATCTTTGTGTACTGATATTGCTGTGTACTGATATCTGTGTACTGATATCTCTGTATACTGATATCTGTGTACTGATATCTCTGTGTGATATCTTTGTGTACTGATATTGCTGTGTACTGATATCTGTGTACTGATATCTCTGTGTACTGATATCTGTGTACTGATATCTCTGTGTACTGATATCTGTGTACTGATATATCTGTGTACTGTAATCTCTGTGTACTGATATCTGTGTACTGATATCTTTGTGTACTGATATCTGTGTTCTGATATCTGTGTACTGATATCTGTGTACTGATATCTCTGTGATATCTGTGTATTGATATCTGTGTACTGATATCTGTGTACTGATATCTCTGTGTACTGATATCTGTTACTGATATCTCTGTGTACTGATATCTCTGTATACTGATATCTGTGTACTGATATCTCTGTGTGATATCTTTGTGTACTGATATTGCTGTGTACTGATATCTGTGTACTGATATCTCTGTGTACTGATATCTGTGTACTGATATCTCTGTGTACTGATATCTGTGTATACTGATATCTGTGTACTGATATCTCTGTGTGATATCTTTGTGTACTGATATCTCTGTGTACTGATATATGTGTACTGATATCTCTGTGTACTGATATCTGTGTTCTGATATCTCTGTGTACTGATATCTCTGTGTGATATCTCTGTGTATTGATATCTGTGTACTGATATCTGTGTACTGATATCTCTGTGTACTGATATCTGTTTACTGATATCTGTGTACTGATATCTCTATGTGATATCTCTGTGTACTGATATCTCTGTGTGATATCTCTGTGTACTGATATCTCTGTGTGATATCTTTGTGTACTGATATCTCTGTGTACTGATATCTGTGTACTGATATATGTGTACTGATATCTCTATGTGATATCTCTGGGTACTGATATCTCTATGTGATATCTCTGGGTACTGATATCTCTGTGTGATATCTCTGTGTACTGATATTTCTGTGTGATATCTTTGTGTACTGATATCTCTGTGTACTGATATCTGTGTACTGATATCTCTGTGTGATATCTTTGTGTACTGATATCTCTGTGTACTGATATCTCTGTGTACTGACTGATATTTGTGTACTGATATATCTGTGTACTGATATCTCTGTGTGATATCTTTGTGTACTGATATCTCTGTGTGATATCTTTGTGTACTGATATCTCTGTGTGATATCTTTGTGTACTGATATCTCTGTGTGATATCTTTGTGTACTGATATCTCTGTGTACTGATATCTGTGTACTGATATCTCTGTGTGATATCTTTGTGTACTGATATCTCTGTGTACTGATATCTCTGTGTACTGATATCTGTGTACTGATATCTCTGTGTGATATCTTTGTGTACTGATATCTCTGTGTGATATCTTTGTGTACTGATATCTCTGTGTACTGATATCTGTGTACTGATATCTCTGTGTGATATCTTTGTGTACTGATATCTCTGTGTACTGATATCTGTGTACTGATATCTCTGTGTGATATCTTTGTGTACTGATATCTCTGTGTACTGATATTTCTGTGTACTGATATCTGTGTACTGATATCTCTGTGTACTGATATCTCTGTGTGATATCTTTGTGTACTGATATCTGTGTACTGATATCTCTGTGTGATATCTTTGTGTACTGATATCTCTGTGTACTGATATCTCTGTGTACTGATATCTCTGTACTGATATCTCTGTGTACTGATATCTGTGTACTGATATCTCTGTGTACTGATATCTGTGTACTGATATCTCTGTGTACTGATATCTCTGTGTGATATCTTTGTGTACTGATATCTGTGTACTGATATCTGTGTACTGATATCTCTGTGTATATAGAAAAGCTTTTAGATTTCATGAAGTTACCTACAATCTAGTGGTATTTACCAAACTATCTTGAATAGATAAAAAAAAATCAACTCTTGAAGACAGGTCTCCAGAATTCATCTTTTATCTACTGTGCTGGTAGCCAACATCTCTATGACAGTTGTCATCACACAATACACCACCATAAATGACTCTCAGACTACCAGTAGTTGACCTCCCAGTCAGGGGCAAAGTTTGTGAGGTCATGCAAAAATTTGGCATCATCCCCAAAAACACCAACAAAAGACTCAGCTGTAGACTATTTTGTATGTCATCGATCAGCGTAAAAAAGAATATTTGCCATTTCAAGAGGTTGTGTACTAGTATCCTAGCCAAATTACCACCAATTACCACTGGTATCACAGTATATTAACATATTTCTTGAGAACATGTCGGTAGCTGATAAATGAAAGTACAAAATGTAAACGGTGACTGTTTAATAAATTTCCAGCGATATAATCCATAACATTTATAACCTTGTAAACAAAAGTCATCATTCACCGCATGAATTTTGATTGTTGAAATTGAAATAACTTAAATTTTATCGCAAGAATTTGGGGGCAAATGTTTTATTGTAGCTGTGGGCCATTGATTTAAATCTTCCATTTACAGAAACTGTTCCAGCTAAACTTGTGTCCCTGTGAACAAAACAATTATCTAGGATCGTTGAACAGCATCAACCAGTTTTTTTTCAAAATTTGCTGCTAAGACTTGATTGTGTACAGAGTTGCACCAATGATGTCTAATATTTCCTCAATTTCAAAAGAGTTCTTAATTAATTTAAAGGAATATTTCTTTAATGATTTTGATTACATCAACTCACTTCTCCTTAATTGATGTGTGTATCTTTTCTTTTAAAAACAGTTTCCACCTGGCTGCAATGAGCTCCATCATGAAGTTGAGCTAGGAGTTGTCATTGGAAAAGGTGGTAACAACATTTCAGAGGCAAATGCGATGGAACATGTAGGAGGGTATGTACTTGCCCTTGACATGACTGCTCGTGATCTTCAGGATTTCGCCAAGAAAAATGGTCATCCATGGGCTCTTGCAAAGTCCTGGGATACATCTTGTCCTGTCAGCAATTTCATTGAAAAGAATAAAATTCCAGATCCCAGCAGTCTTAACCTCTGGCTCAAGGTCAATGGAGAAATGAAACAAAATGGAAACACAACAGACATGATTTTCCCGATTCCATACTTGATCAGTTTTCTAAGTAACTATTTTACACTGGAGGAGGGAGATTTATTGTTGACTGGTACGCCATCTGGTGTCGGCCCAGTAAAAGAAGGGGATGAAATCCAGGCAGGGTTGGGAGACATTTTGTCCATCACGTTTAGTGTGTCTGATGATAAGTGATATTATCCACTTTCGTTTTCTGCGATCTCACTCAAGGATGGTACAATATTGCTTAATTACCAGGTACTTGTACAATTGTTTCATGATTGAGGGAAAGATTGACCTGAAAATGATTTATGTGTGATATTCAAGATATATTTATGTGTAATCAGAGAGAAATCACTACAAATATGAGAAAATGTGAGAAAAGAAAAACTATATTTTCAGTATATGCCTTTACTATCATTTTTTTAATCAGATTTTAATTCACTTTTACATACAGGTTGCATCATTAAGTAACGAGGGGGGGGGGGGGGGGGGGGGGGGGGGGGATCCGTAGTATCTTGTGTTTATGTTACATGATGTTATTGATGATTTTAATTGAAATACAATTGATATGAAGAAATTAAAACAACTGTTAAAATGTTCAAAGTGCTGCTCCGATTTGTTTATTTTAAAAGATCTTCCCTCAGATTTGAAAAAAAAAGCCCACGAAACACTGATAAGAGATGAACCATTTCAAAATGTGAATAAGGCGTAATTTTTCTACTCCATCTTAATTTCTGTGTTCTTGTTTCATAGATTTTGAGAAAAGGATGATTTTAACGTTTTGTCTGCATTAACAAGAATTTTTCACATTAATATTCCATCATTGTTGATATATGTTTGATGCACAAGTTGATGAAACTGTGAAGGTAAGACATCAATACTAGGAGAAATATCAGGAACTACCAAGACAGAAACAGCAACAAAATGTCTTTTACCTGCACTAATGATGAACCCTCTCAATGTACCATAACTATGTAAATTACATGCTGAAAGATGTGGTTGTACAACTTGTCCTTACTATAATGGTAATTAACCTCCCTATGAAGTTTGAAGTTGACCCATTGAAAACTAATCAAGATATTGAGCAGAATCTGTTCTGACAATTAAATAAAGGTCCAGAATTCAGTGAATTACATTTGGAAAAAGACAGATTGGATGTGTGTGCTTGATATCGCAAGCTTGTCAATGTGATCATAGTAATGAACCTTACCTTCCAAAGAAATTTGAAGTTGATCTTTTGAAAGCTCATGGAGATATTGAGCGGACTGTTTTGGTAATTGAATAAAGGGCCATAACCCCATAAATATCAGTCTGAAAATTACTGTCATCACACTTGTCTGAACTATTTTGGTAATGAAACTTCCTATAAACGTTGAAGTTTATCCACTGAAAATTACTTGAGATATCAAGCACAATCTTTTGGTAATTGTATAAGGGGCCATAACAATAGAATCCTGAAACTACAATGATCAACTTGTCGGAGCTCTCATGGTGATGAACCTTCGCATCAAGTCCAAATTTTTATCTGTTGAAAACTAATAAAGATATCAAGCAGACACTGTAATAAGATAAAGGGCTATAACTCTTTAAGTTTTGGTCCGAAAATTGCAGTCATGGTTATGAACCTTCCTATAAAATTTAAAGTTGATCTGTTGATATCTAATTGAGATATCAAGCAGACACTGTTTTGGGAATTGAATAAGGGGCCATAACTCCATGAATTACGGTGATTGATCTTGTCCAAGCTATCATGGTATTGAACCTTTCTATGAAGTTTGAAGTTTGATCCATTGAAAATTACTCAAGTTATTAAGCGGACACTGTGTGTGCCCATCCGCTCACATAACAAATAACAAATAAAGAAAAAGACAAGTGTTTGTAACACATTTTATTTTGTTTCCGTCAAAAGTACCACACACAAGTGAAACACAGGAATAGAAATTGACAGGAAACACAAGGTTACACACCCTGACAAGGTCCTCAGAAATCACAGAGCTATAAACACTGAAAAAGGTCCTCACAGTGAAGATGGGTCATTATACCCGGAGAAGATCCTCACAGTGAACTTGAGACCCTATTCCCTGACAAGGTCCTCACACTCAACATGAGACCCTATACCCTGACAAGGTCCTCACAGTGAACATGAGACCCTATACCCTGACAAGGTCCTCACAGTGAACATGAGACCCTATTCCCTGACAAGGTCCTCACAGTGAAAATGAGACCCTATTCCCTGACAAGATCCTCACAGTGAAAATGAGACCCTATACCCTGACAAGGTCCTCACTGTGAATATGAGACCCTATACCCTGACAAGGTCCTCACAGTGAACATGAGACCCTATTCCCTGACAAGGTCCTCACAGTGAACATGAGACCCTATTCCCTGACAAGGTCCTCACAGTGAAAATGAGACCCTATACCCTGACAAGATCCTCACAGTGAACATGAGACCCTATTCCCTGACAAGGTCCTCACACTCAACATGAGACCCTATTCCCTGACAAGATCCTCACAGTGAACATGAGACCCTATACCCTGACAAGGTCCTCACACTGAACATGAGACCCTATACCCTGACAAGATCCTCACAGTGAACATGAGACCCTATACCCTGACAAGGTCCTCACACTGAACATGAGACCCTATACCCTGACAAGATCCTCACAGTGAACATGAGACCCTATACCCTGACAAGGTCCTCACACTGAACATGAGACCCTATACCCTGACAAGATCCTCACACTGAACATGAGACCCTATACCCTGACAAGATCCTCACACTGAACATGAGACCCTATTCCCTGACAAGGTTCTCACAGAGAACACGAGACCCTATACCCTGACAAGGTCCTCACAGTGAACATGAGACCCTATTCCCTGACAAGATCCTCACAGTGAACATGAGACCCTATTCCCTGACAAGGTCCTCACACTGAACATGAGACCCTATACCCTGACAAGGTCCTCACACTGAACATGAGACCCTATACCCTGACAAGATCCTCACAGTGAACATGAGACCCTATACCCTGACAAGATCCTCACAGTGAACATGAGACCCTATTCCCTGACAAGATCCACACAGTGAACATGAGACCCTATTCCCTGACAAGATCCTCACAGTGAACATGAGACCCTATTCCCTGACAAGATCCTCACAGTGAAAATGAGACCCTATTCCCTGACAGGGTCCTCACTGTGAACATGAGACCCTATACCCTGACAAGGTCCTCACAGTGAACATGAGACCCTATTCCCTGACAAGATCCTCACAGTCAACATGAGACCCTATTCCCTGACAAGATCATCACAGTGCAAATGAGACCCTATACCCTGACAAGATCCTCACAGTGAACATGAGACCCTATACCCTGACAAGGTCCTCACAGTGAACATGAGACCCTATTCCCTGACAAGATCCTCACAGTGAAAATGAGACCCTATTCCCTGACAAGGTTCTCACAGTGAACACGAGACCCTATACCCTGACAAGATCCTCACAGTGAACATGAGACCCTATACCCTGACAAGATCCTCAGTGTGAACACGAGACCCTATACCCTGACAAGATCCTCACAGTGAACATGAGACCGTATTCCCTGACAAGGTCCTCACAGTGAACATGAGACCCTATACCCTGACAGATCCTCACTGTGAACACGAGACCCCCTATACCCTGAAAAGGTCCTCACAGTGAACATGAGACCCTATTCCCTGACAAGGTCCTCACAGTGAACATGAGACCCTATTCCCTGACAAGGTCCTCACAGTGAAAATGAGACCCTATTCCCTGACAAGATCCTCACAGTGAAAATGAGACCCTATACCCTGACAAGGTCCTCACTGTGTATATGAGACCCTATACCCTGACAAGGTCCTCACAGTGAACATGAGACCCTATTCCCTGACAAGGTCCTCACAGTGAACATGAGACCCTATTCCCTGACAAGGTCCTCACAGTGAAAATGAGACCCTATACCCTGACAAGATCCTCACAGTGAACATGAGACCCTATTCCCTGACAAGGTCCTCACACTCAACATGAGACCCTATTCCCTGACAAGATCCTCACAGTGAACATGAGACCCTATACCCTGACAAGGTCCTCACACTGAACATGAGACCCTATACCCTGACAAGATCCTCACAGTGAACATGAGACCCTATACCCTGACAAGGTCCTCACACTGAACATGAGACCCTATACCCTGACAAGATCCTCACAGTGAACATGAGACCCTATACCCTGACAAGGTCCTCACACTGAACATGAGACCCTATACCCTGACAAGATCCTCACACTGAACATGAGACCCTATACCCTGACAAGATCCTCACACTGAACATGAGACCCTATTCCCTGACAAGGTTCTCACAGAGAACACGAGACCCTATACCCTGACAAGGTCCTCACAGTGAACATGAGACCCTATTCCCTGACAAGATCCTCACAGTGAACATGAGACCCTATTCCCTGACAAGGTCCTCACACTGAACATGAGACCCTATACCCTGACAAGGTCCTCACACTGAACATGAGACCCTATACCCTGACAAGGTCCTCACACTGAACATGAGACCCTATACCCTGACAAGATCCTCACAGTGAACATGAGACCCTATTCCCTGACAAGATCCTCACAGTGAACATGAGACCCTATTCCCTGACAAGATCCTCACAGTGAACATGAGACCCTATTCCCTGACAAGATCCTCACAGTGAAAATGAGACCCTATTCCCTGACAGGGTCCTCACTGTGAACATGAGACCCTATACCCTGACAAGGTCCTCACAGTGAACATGAGACCCTATTCCCTGACAAGATCCTCACAGTCAACATGAGACCCTATTCCCTGACAAGATCATCACAGTGAAAATGAGACCCTATACCCTGACAAGGTCCTCACAGTGAACATGAGACCCTATACCCTGACAAGGTCCTCACAGTGAACATGAGACCCTATTCCCTGACAAGATCCTCACAGTGAAAATGAGACCCTATTCCCTGACAAGGTTCTCACAGTGAACACGAGACCCTATACCCTGACAAGATCCTCACAGTGAACATGAGACCCTATACCCTGACAAGATCCTCAGTGTGAACACGAGACCCTATACCCTGACAAGATCCTCACAGTGAACATGAGACCGTATTCCCTGACAAGGTCCTCACAGTGAAAATGAGAGCCTATACCCTGAAAAGGTCCTCACAGTGAACATGAGACCCTATACCCTGACAGATCCTCACTGTGAACACGAGAGCCCCTATACCCTGAAAAGGTCCTCACAGTGAACATGAGACCCTATTCCCTGACAAGGTCCTCACACTGAACATGAGACCCTATACCCTGAAAAGGTCCTCACAGTGAACATGAGACCCTATTCCCTGACAAGGTCCTCACACTGAACATGAGACCCTATACCCTGACAAGATCCTCACTGTGAACACGAGACCCCCTATACCCTGAAAAGG